GGTGGGGTACTACGTTCCTCTTACTATGGTTACTACTGGGGTTACCTTACAGGACCTGGTTATTAGGGATACCATGCAGAGGTGAACAACTCGTTATTACTGTTGTTTGTTTAGTATAATAGTAGATTTAAGATAATCACTAATAATCAGCTTTGTTATTTTAGAAAATCTTGCGTTTAATATGTTTTCATATTGTGCTCGAATAATATAAAATAAAGAGATAATTTTAAAGTTTAATCACGCCTGATTGATATTTCCCAACAAAAACCTCCCAGGTATGTGATAAGAAGTGTGTTGGTAGTGTACCTCCCTATATTACTCCTCTCAACCCTATCCTACCACACCCATACCTCCTCCTCCAACTCTCGTACAGTCTCCATCATAAGAACTGTTCGCACTGTCATTTCAGTGATGGAGAAACTTTCGTTAGCACTTTACTCTGTGGTGACGCCAAACGAGAACAAACCAATACACGATAGTGCTGTTTATTATCTAGTTTTATTCCATACCCTTAACTCTATCATAACAACACTGTTAGTATACACTTCTGTCCCTTCTAGCAGATTCAAGAAAGTCAGCATTGCACTGAAACTCTGTCTTATTCTCATATCTCTGGTCCTGAGGAGTGTCTCCCTGCCATCTTTCTGCAGTGACACCTCCACTGACTGTATCTTACATCATGTCTTCTTCATGCCTCTGTTCGCTGTGTTTCACGGGTCTGCGGTGCTGGACATTGGGGACAGGAGCGTGGTTGTGAGAAACACCAGTGTTAAGAAGTATGAGCGGAATGTGTTGCAGGCTAAACATGAGCGTATTGAGAGGGGTAGGGTTCCTGATGTAGAAAGTGTGGAGTTTTAGGATTGTAAAGTGACTTGTCTTGTTGTGATGGTTTGTTTGAGTCCTTACCTGGTCACTGGTCAGTCAGTGACCAGAGTGTAGCTTGTAGTGTAGCTTATGTATAATAGTGTAGTCTATATAGTATAATATATATAGTGTAACTTATATAAATTGCCTTTTTTATACAGTATACGGGGTAGAATTTATTATGCTAACGTTTCATTGAGTATCATATTTGAAGTATTATGCTGAGAATCTGTTTTACCTTGAAGTATTCAGAGGTCAGGAATAATTATAATCAATGAACTAGTTTTTTCTTAAAGATGCAGATCATGGTCAACCTTTACTTTATCAAAGTAAGTAAAGTCTTTTTTTCTATAACAGAGAGGAGGGGACTGGTCACGGTTGCTCGGTAAAAACCGTAAGAATTTCAAATAAAGTGTTTTGTTTTCGTTACATAGGGAGTAGGGACTCAAACTTACGTATGAATTTTTGATTTTTGTTAGAATTTGATACTTTCTATTAATTGGTTATTAACTTAGAATTTGATACTTTCTATTAATTGGTTATCAACTTTTGATTTTAGATATTTCTGCGTTTGTATTGTCATGTCAAGATATTATCTTGTTATAGGATGTCCAATGTCCAGTATTATATAAAATGTTTTGAAATATTTATAAGCATTTGCTGAAAGTTAAGTAACATTATGAGGTAATGATCATTTTATTTGTCATAATGTTACTTATAGTTATCTTAGTATGGTTTATAATAAAAGATGTTTCAATTTTGTCTTTGTCTTTTTAAAGTTCTCCTTATGTTCACATTTCTCATTTGCTCATTCACTCACAGTCAGCCGCTCTGATATGGTTAAACCACTTTCCTTGTGTTGTTGGTTGATCATATGAGTGGGATATAAATACCTAATTTCATTTCATAATTTAATATCTGAATACGGATATTACATATATAATATATGTAATATCCGTATTCAGATATTAAATTATATATATAATCACTAACTATCACCCTTTCACAACTGATAGAACAAACACGATTAATTCTGTGTTATTAAGACGGTAAATTCAAGTATTTCATCTATAACATGTATAAACCTTTGCGGTGTATTGAAATTATATTGTTTACTTTAGAAGATCACCTGAATTATACAGTATTATTGTAATATCACCATTTCCACTCTCCACTAGGATCATGTCAAGTAGACTGGTGTACTTCGGTAACGTTATCTCCAGAACAGACGCCCTAGCAAAAGCCAATGTTATCAGGGAACCTAAGTGGCTGAAAGCATGTCTGAAGTTCCCTCCTCTGTCAGAACCAGTGAACCCAGTGTTACCTGATTGGGAGAACACGGAACAGACTAAGACTCACCGTGTAGGAAACATGACCAGACTCGACGGACACAGGTATTTGTTGATCTTGAAATATTTCAACATCCTTTTGTACTTTTTCGCTTATGGTGAAACTGTCCAGGTTTCAAATTCCACGAGGAGTATAAGTTAAGCGATTATTTACTTATTAAACGTTTACCCCAGGTTCGACCCAAAGAAGCCTACAGAGTTCCCACGTGACCAGCAACTAACCCACCCTGACCAGCCTTACCATATCTACTATTCTAGAGACGAGCTAAGGAGACAGTTCTACTCAACACACCCTAACTATCCAGTACACTTGTCATACTCAGAACACTCCGAGAGTGCATGTGAGAAGTGGATAAAAGAGAGAAAGGTGGCAGACAGCCGAGAGTTGGCAGGCAGCCAAGACTCGCTATATTCTTTTGAGTTTGAGTCGCTTGATAAAAACATTTGGGAAGAGTTTGAGGATATTAGATACAATTGTGATATATCTGACATAGATATCCATGACACTTAAATTTTGATAAGTGTATACATTTATAAATAATTTATTATTGATCAAAATATTGTTAATGTCTAAACTTGATAAGAGTTTTTTGTGTAGCTACAGTTCCATCTGTTCTTACTAAGGAGTAAGGAAGGTCCATATTTTTAGTATATAATGTGGCTAGGGGCGACGAGTTATTATTACAGTCCCGTTTGATATGTCAACATTTCATGGGCGAAGAAATTTTCTGAGCGGTATAAATATTGAAGAACTGGTTGGATATTTTTAACTATGATGTTCATAATAATATAATCAGCGTTAGGCTGGGACAGTCAAAAAGATGCGAAACTTCAAGTGTATGTGAATAGTCCGGGTGAATGACACCTCAGGTATTCCTGTAGTGTCATCGTCCGATTAGTCGATTAAACCTCTTTAATTCAACACAATGAGAATATATATAATATATTATTAAGAAATGTGGTCCCTGATTTCAACTAGATTATCTAACCTTTCATTTTTCTCTGTGCTGTTGGTAAGTTTCCAAGTGTTGTTAAATTTTATACATTTAACCGATTAAAGTATGAAAATCAGTAAAACTCGATCTTTAGAAGTATATATAAATACATTTGCTAGCTGTGTTTCAAATATAAACGTTTCATTGAATAGTGAGGAGTGGAAATACTAAGTATCATAATTGATTTTATCTTGAACACTTTAATGATAATTAATGATCATACAGGGGGGGGGGGGGGGGGAATGCAACGTCAATTAATGTCAGTATTCCATAAAAACCCCAAACTGACATTGACATTAATTGACATTAATTGACATTAATTGACAATAATTGACATTAAGGGGGCATACCCCAAATCTGTCCAGACCTAATGACCTCATAGGCAGTTCAGTGACCTTCTAGCGCACCGTTTCCACACAAAAAAAAATTATTTTGAGAATTCCCATTTTTGTAATCGACCATTTCCTGGTTAAGAGTGCAATTTTCGGAAAAAATTATTTTGTGGTTGAGACGCTATAAGTTAATCATTTCTTGCGGTATCGGGTTGAAATTTTGCTCGCCGTTTATTCACATCTATGTCAAGGTGTGTGTAAAATCTTGATATCGTATCTAAAAAGGCTGGTGTGTTATGAATTTTTAAAGTCAAAAAGCTAAAATTGTCCTTTTCAGGCTTATTTTAACAATAAGTCAGTCAGGGAAGATCGGATTATTTGATACTTGACATCAAATTGTTCTCTGAATTCTGGCGCAGTTTTGATGCCCTCAAAAATGTTTTTACTCATTCACCTTCTGATCTATTGGACCTCAAAGCCAAACAACAAATTTAGGCACATTTTTCGTTTTTAATATTTACTGATTTTTCTAAAATTTTGATAGGAATGTGCTAGTGACTTTTTGAAGGGTGCAAAATAACCGCAACTAGCACATTTATATATGAGTTATGAACAACAAAACACCCTAAAATGCTTCCCTTTGAAGTTATGGGAGAAAATGTGATTTTTTGGCTTTGTAGATAAAAAATCACATTTTCTCCCATAACTTCAAAGGGAAGCATTTTAGGGTGTTTTGTTGTTCATAACTCATATATAAATGTGCTAGTTGCGGTTATTTTGCACCCTTCAAAAAGTCACTAGCACATTCCTATCAAAATTTTAGAAAAATCAGTAAATATTAAAAACGAAAAATGTGCCTAAATTTGTTGTTTGGCTTTGAGGTCCAATAGATCAGAAGGTGAATGAGTAAAAACATTTTTGAGGGCATCAAAAACTAAAATAAGCCTGAAAAGGACAATTTTAGCTTTTTGACTTTAAAAATTCATAACACACCAGCCTTTTTAGATACGATATCAAGATTTTACACACACCTTGACATAGATGTGAATAAACGGCGAGCAAAATTTCAACCCGATACCGCAAGAAATGATTAACTTATATAGCGTCTCAACCACAAAATAATTTTTTCCGAAAATTGCACTCTTAACCAGGAAATGGTCGATTACAAAAATGGGAATTCTCAAAATAATTTTTTTGTGTGGAAACGGTGCGCTAGAAGGTCACTGAACTGCCTATGAGGTCATTTGGTCTGGACGGCACAAACCACTGTTCTGGGGTATGCCCCCTTAATTGACATTAATTGACATTAATTTGTCTTGAAATTTGAGATTATCATTATTCGATAAATATTCAAGATATTCACGTCTATGTAAGTTAGACCGGTTCAAAAAAACAAAATGTCCTTGAATAATTATGAGTATGTTCTTATCTGTTGATCCTTAGGTTCAAAGACCACCAAAAAAATTTCAGCTTCCAACTCTTCCATCTTCGGTCCCCACCGGCCACGCCCATATTTTATTGGTTTCTTATACAGGTAAAATATCTAGAATCGGCTTTTTAGTATGAAGGAGTAATGTTAGCTGTTTAAGATTCGTTATTCAAATATAATAAAACAAATATTTTAATAAAACAAATATTTATTTTTACGACACAATCAAACAATATCAATAATAAATAAATCAGGGGAGGTTTGAAGAGGTTTCAAGTGTCGAAGGCCACTGCTTATCTCTAGGATTTGAGAGTGACCTGTGCTTGAAACCCCCTAAACCATCCACTGCGTCAATATACTTATTATACAAATATATAAAAATATAATAATCTAAAATTACTTAGGTATTGGCTTAGTTTGGTGACAAAGGAGGGCCCAGTTGAGTTTTAGTTTAGCTTTAGGTTTTGAATCACAGTTTAAAAGGTTAGCCATGTTTCATGGCAGAGAGATATCATGTGTGCATAGCCGTACCGGATGTAGAGTTTGAGATATAATATAGATTAGTTACCATGTATTAGGGTCATCTCGATTTTGGAGGGATAGCAAGTGCTTTTTAAGGTTAGATTTAATAACACCTGACGAAGCTGATAAGTCTGAATTCTTGGAAGAACCCGGGATTATTATCCCATCTACATTAGCATCACATATTTCGAATACATAGGGGCTGAGGTCATTCCAAATTTTCGTAGAGGTGTACAAAAAGTTCTGTTGGGAGATATCTAACCTCAGTAAGAGGTGTCATGAATGCATTTCGTTTAATGTGGGTTTTAAGTTCTGATGATGTTGAGAACCACGCCCTTGGATGGCCACGCCCATTTAAGAAAATTAAATTTCGGAAAACCGTATTATTTTAGTATTATTGTTTAATGATCTGAATTTTTTTCACATTTCACATTTCCATATGTGATAGTAGTGAATAAATTGATGATGTATAAACGTTCTTAAGTGCTAAAAATATGGTAGAACTACATAATCTCTGGTCGAAAAATATCGTGTCAATTAATGTCAGTATTCCAAAATTTTGCAAAACTGACATTGACATTAATTGACATTAATTGACATTAATTGACATTAATTGACGTTGCATTCCCCCCCATACAGGTTGACCCAAAATTACTGCATCGTATAGATTTGTACCCCCCCCCCCCCCCCCCGGCCCCGTTTAAACCTTACCTTACCCCCTTGCCTTGACCCCCCCCCCCCCCCCCCGGCCCCCCCATTAAACTTAAGATCGTGTTAACTTTGGCCCATAATCTTGAACAAAATAAATACTTGAACAACACGGCCCGAATGAACAGCAATTGTATACTCAAAACTTCAAGCTTACATAAATTGCAGCTCATCGACTTGAGATATCACAGGTGACAAGAAAATGAAATGGTATGTGTCCAGTTCTGACGATCTTCACAATGATATAGAACTGCCTCCTAACGAAGTGGTAGCGTTAGGTAAATATTAAATTATACAACATAATAATATTTGGTACAAGAGAAACGCCATTTTCTGACGTGAGGAGAGTTAGGACTCCTCCAACTACATACATTAAATCAATTCCTTCTGTAACGTCCTCAATAAATGTAATAGATTTGTAGTGTTGTGATTAGTTTAAAACTATCAATATTATAGAAATAAAATTTTAAGTAATCTTAATTAAACGGTTTATCGCTATTTCATATAATTACGATAAACTGCAAATAAAAACATATGCTCCCAATATTGCGGGGAATATAGCGATATCATTTAAATATACAAATATAACACAATAGCTAACATTTATCAGGTAGAACTACTGATACGGGTATATCAGATAAGAGTGTGTCTAAACTGCACACATTACTCAAATACCAACCTTCCAAACAAATCGTTCTGTGCAAGCAACTGGGAAAACATCCAGCTGTTATCAACGGTTAGTGAGGTTTATACGTTCGTGAATTTAAGGTTTACTCAACCGGCTTTATCGATTGTTTTTAATAAAAGTGAAACGTATTTAAATATAAACAATGTAAAATATTAATGTGACCAATTTAGAAGATGAGAGCTCATATTATGATTGAATCCTAACATTTAAGATAACAAATAAAGAAATAAATTAACAAGTTTTGTCAGTTTACATTAAACAATAATAGTAATACAAGGTACAGTAAACAATATTTTCAATTCGATTAAAATCAACTATTTGAACATTCCATCTGCATTACTGCATATGGTCAAGTTCGGAGACAACCTGTACATAAAATCAGTCACTAATTACACTCATCTCACTGCCATAAACGGTAAAATTAATTATAATTCCTCTGACAGTCCAAGGGGTACAGGCTCTTCAGATATTATACTCCTAACCTTTCTATAATGATATCTGGGTTCAAAATTTAAATAACTCAACCTTGGTGGAGACAGTGGCCACCTGAAAATTACAAAAATAAATGAACTGTAAATCACTTATGAAAAAAATATTTACTCCAAATTTCACAATTTAACGTTACGTAAGACAGGTGGGTACTCAAAAAGTGCCGGTTGAGCAGGTTTGTCTGCTCAACACAGGTGGAGCAGTTCACTGACTACATGAGCTAATATAAGTGACTAGAACTAACCCTCTCATGCTTTTTAATTGCTCCAAAGTCCTAATATTTAATATTATGGGTTATACCAATCATATTTCATAGAATAGGATCCTCAGAATCGGCTCAACCGAGGTGGAGACAGCATAACATGCAGTTCAAAATCTGTTATTCTGTAGTTTAGGAGCTGTAGAGTGACTGTGGCAGTCCATTTGCAATACCAATGATTCTAAATCATCTACCAACTCATATTACAAGGCATCCTTGCTGAAAAGTACACTCAACATAGGTGGAGACTCAAATTTGGCAAATTTGGGCGTAAATTTGACCTCAGAAGTCAAGGTTCTCCACCGCAGTTGAGTGGTTGATGGCTAGTTTGATGAGTTGTATACATGCTAAAGTGTCACCCAATGTTATTTCTTCCAGAAATCAACTGCCAAAGCTCAACTCAACCCGGTGGGGCCAGTTTTAATGCATTTTTTAATGTTTTAATGTTTAATCAACAATTTCTCCACCTTGTTGAACACCTTTTCACAACTTTTCATTTGCTAGAACATTTTGCTTTAAGACAGAAGGGGTAACAGTTTTATGATCCCCTACAGTAGCAGTTAACAGAGCAGATTAGAATTAGTGATAAAACCAATGAATTTAGGCATGTTTGACAGGCTTTTTACTGTTTCTTAATGAAAGATCTCCACCCTGTTGAGCGTCAATGGAAAAAACAATATTTAACGGGAAGTAGAAAAGGC